GGAGGGGGCCCCGGGGGGCATGTGCTCGAGCGGATGGGTTGACAAATTGAAGCCAGCACGTTCGTTGCAAGCCGTGAGCAGGCTGCAGCCAAGGCGCCTGTGTGTGCGTGTCCCATACACCTCGTGGCATTTGCGTCAATTTTTTTCGCGCTGGCCCTGTCACAAGGGCATGGCATTAATGGTCCGTGTTGGACTGGCGCGCGCGCCGTGTGGTTGCGCACATGGAAACACGATTGCTAGTGTATGGGGTCCGCCGAATGCATGCAAATGGCCCAACGGCCGCGCCTCACCCTCCACGCCGGCGGACTCCTCGTCCGCCCTGAGGGACGCCACAAACGCCTTGGCCTCCTCCCGCTGCTGGGCGCGCTCCGCCTTCTTCTTCGCGCCGATCCGCTTGATCGCGGCCTCGTGTCCTGCACGGTCAATTCAAGGTGATGTAATGTGTCAGAATCCTGTGCGACGTGGGTGGGATGCGCACTGAAGTAACGGGAAGCCGGGCGAGTCCGGCCATATGGCATGCAACTTGGAGACTGCAACCAGCCAGGACGCCAATTGCTGCCACATCAAGGCGGTCAAGCAACAAGGCGGTGCGATTGGTAGAGGCTGGGCAGCGCCCACTTGCACGTGCGTGCAGCGTGTAGGCTACAAGGCCCGCGCAGCGTGCAAAATAAACCGCTGCATGCACGAGCAAGGTCGGCCAGCGCGGCGCGCACCGTCTGTGTGGTTGTGGTAGTAGGTCTTCACAGACTGCTCGATGCGCGCCTGGTCGAACACGTCCTTCCTGTGGGGCGGAATCTTCTTCTCGACGCTGGCCACCAGACCCTTCAGGTCCTGCGGATGTGGGCAAGTGGTGTGAGAGTGTCAGCCGCATATTCGTCCGGTAGCACTTTTGGCTTTGCACACATACCTGCACGGCGCCGCCTGCGGGGGCTGCGCAACCGCACGCCGGACGCGAACTAGCAGCATCGAAGGGGGTTGGGGGTGTTGATGGTGAGCTGGAGCTGCACTGCATCGGCCTGCGTTGGCAGCGAACCTATCTCACGTGCCAAGCGCCAGCTGCCAGTTGTGCAAGACGCATGCCCGGGCCCGGGCCCACCAGCCCGGCCCGTCTGGCTGCAAGCACACAGATCTGGAGCCTATGAACTTATGCCAATACGCACCCGGTCCACGCCCGCCTGCGCCAGCTTGCGCGGGGTCGCGGCGCTGAACTTTTCCCAAGTGTTGAAATCGGCGGTCTCCTTGGCGGCACTGACGGTGCGGGCGATGGTGGCCATGGGGAGCTGAGGCATCCTGGGGCTGCGCTTGCGCGGGGTGGGCTTGGCCGCCTTCTTCTTGGACCTGCGGGCAGGACGGGGTTGGGGGGCCGCGCAGGAGCGGCAGCGGGCGCGTCAGACACGCACAGTGGCCCGAGCGAGAGGTGGCCTCGCCCCAGAAGCGCTGACCCATGATCTGCTGGCCCCCAACGCGCCCGCCCCCAGACATGCTGAATATTTAGTGCAGCGTTGAAGTACACATGGGCACGCACGCTGGCAGTGCAGCGGTTTTGTGAGGCAGGGCTGTTCAGATCAGCTCGGGGTTGAAGCGGGTCCCGCATCTGGCTCACTTGGACGCGGCGAGGAACATCTCCAGGAGCCTGACGTGTCCCACTTTCTGGAGGCCCGGGACGAAGAGCGCCAGCTCGCGGGCCGCGAGCTCCCAGCCCCGCGCGTCCCTGGTCTTGCCAAACTCCCGCAGGACCTTCTTCATGGTCTTCCACGTGGTGATCTTGGCCTTCCTGCACGCCTTAAACACCAAGGTAGCCTGCGCCCGAGGCAGGATGGCGGCGAGCTTGCCTGACAGGGTGATGAGGCGGGTCATGTTGGATGACTGTGATGGCTTGTAACGATATGATTAGCTATTGCAATGATTAGGCTGACTTGTGGGGGTTGATCGGGGCCCGCCAGTGCTCCTTGAGTCGCGTGGAAATCTGGCAACCGATTCGTCGGCCGGTGGCAAGCCGCGCGCGCGGGTAATGTGCCCTCCATGCGTCATTGCTGAAGTGTTTCCGTCATCGCTTGTCGGTCGACACGTGCCTGATGCTGGGTGTGGGGCGCCCCCGGGGGCTGTCAGCCCGGGCCGTGATTTTGCTACTGTTCACGCTCCCCCTGCCCGTCAGTTGGATTGAAGGCAGCGAAATGGGGAAAAAAAGCGACAAGGAGCGGGAGCAGCAGCCCGACGATGACCTGTGCATGTGCTTGTGCCGGGTGTGCTGGCCCCACCTTTACAGCAAGTCTACGTGGAGGCACGTAAAGCCTGCCTACACTTCCAAAACGTGCCACAACCACTTCTACATGCAGCAAATCTCCAGTGCACGGGAGGCTTTACGAGGAGCCCAGCCGCCGCCGAAGGCGTCGGCATGGCTGTGCTGCAGCACTGCGGACGCGATTAAGGGTGGGGTGCCGTGGACTCCGCAGGACCGCGACAGGCCACCTACTCGCGATGAGCTGGCGGTCAGACTTGGTGTAGACCCGGCGGATGCTCCAGGTGCGCCAGGTGACTTTTGATCAACTGAATGGCCTCCGCAGGACCGCGGGCTCGCCCGCGCCGCGCGGATGCACGCCTGTGCGCACGCGCCCTGGAACAGGGTGGGCCACAGGCCTCTACCGTGGTAGCACCTGCATGTATGCCCACTGCCATGCAAGAATCGCAGTCGGCAAAGCTTGTGCATCATGCATTGACCTGCCCGGCCCCGCACGCATGCACGTGTTAGTTGCGCCAGGTGACGCTGGCGCTGGACCAAGTCAGGCTCGGCAGCCGCCGCGAGCTCGGGGCAGCGCGTCTCCGCCGCTATCGGGCGCCGCAGATGGAGGCGTTGCCCTTGCTCTTGGCGCAGCCCCGGCCGAGGAGGGTGCAGGAAATACCTTGGCGGCATTGCTGTCCCTGAATCTCAGTCACACAACGCTGGTGCTTTACTGTACAATCCCATGAGCCTGGATGGCTCCAGGAGCGGGCGACCGCGGGACGCTGTAACAATCCTAATCCTAATCCAATCCTAATCCTGTCCTCAGTGGCAGACCTGCCCGCATACCAGCGTGCACAGTTCCTGGAGCTGGTCAAGGCTGCTGTCGCCAACGGTGAGGGGTGCGAGGCGAGCCGAGCTCGGTGTGGCCTCGAAGCAACAAGGGCCGTCTCAGCTCCCTCGTTGACTGTGTTGTTGTCTGTGAGCACCCCGGTGGGGTTCGCAACGGAGCCAGGGATGCTGCCTTACACAGATCGGAGTGCATGATATGAGATTAGGATTAGGATTGTTCCAGCGTCCCGCGGTCGCCCGCTCCTGGAGCCATCCAGGCTCATGGGATTGAACAGTAAAGCACCCTCGTCGTGTGACTGAGGTTCAGACGGCTACCGTGCGCCGTTCAAAGCAGGCGTGCACGAAGGCCCCCAATGTGTGCTGATCCGCGTTGCGTGCAAAGGCGCGATATGAGGGGACGCCTGCACTGCGAGTCCACGCACACTGCTGCCTGACCTCACCGTCCCCCAATTCCCACACATCATTTTGATCCTCGCAGACCCTGACATTCCTCGCTTCTTTGGAGACGGAGATGGCGGTCGGCCTCGTCCCCGCCTGCAGACCGCAAGCTACACGATGGGCAGCGACGACATCAGCCTTATGGCGGACGTCGCCGCCTTCCTCACCGGTATGCTGCGCGTCAAGGCTGAAAACAGCGGGGTCACCGAGCGGTGAGAAATTAGGCAGGCCGGACTTGTGCAAATTGTGCCGTGCTATGGTGGGTGGGACGCTGCATCGCTGAGGTTGCGATGCAGGCGGCTGGGCATGCGACACACACCAATCTGTAAGAATACATGTGTGGGTTGGGTCGGCATGGATTAATTGCTTGGGGAGCTGAGCAGCTGCCAACGCGCAGCTGATACACTTGAATCGACACCTTACTGATGACTCATGGGTGTGCGCGCTGCTGGCTCAGTTAGGATTAGGTTTGTTACACGAACCCGCGGTTGCCCGCTCCTGGAGCCATCCAAACTCATGAGATGTAGCATTGTAGCATCAGCTCAATCAACACCATCCGACCTACCCTCCTAGGGCCATCGAAATGATGCTGGACGAGGTCGGCAACATCAACCCCCGCCGCCTCCAGCCCGAGTTCAGCGCCGCCCTCCCAAACAACTTCAGGGCCATGATGACTGCACTCAAAAGGTTTGGCGTCGCTGTGGATATGGAGGAGGTCATGTACGACCGCTGCGGTCACTGTGGGGAAGTTTTTTCTGGCAGATCTAAGGACGCCCAGACTTGCCCCGCCCCTTGCAACCAACCACGAGGCACTAATCCCGATGGGAAGCGTGCAGAGCCGTTGCTTGCAAGGAGCTTGGTGCAATACATGAAGCGCTTCTTTGCCTGCAAGGTCCTGGCCGCAGAATCTACATGGCACCAGCGCGAGGGCCGCAACCTCGGCGGCGCAGGCTCGATAGCTGATGCGGCTCAGGGCACCGCCATGCGCGACGCGGCAGCTGCCTTTGCCGCAGCTGGACTGGACGACCCCCGGCACCTGCGGCTAATGCTGGTTTGGGACGGTGTGGCGCCTTACAAGGGAGACGCCAAGTACAGCATGTGGACCTTCATGGTGCGTTGGCACAAGGGGCCTCATACGGGGTTTTTGAGTGAGGAGTTGCATGCCTGCGCGCGTGAGAGTGCACGCACGCACACGCGCACACACACATACACACACACACACACACACACACACACACACACACACAC